TATATATATATATATATATATATTATTACTATTTACAAATAAATATTTAAATTTCAGTTATTATTTCTTAAAACATAGCACAGTAAATACGAAATATTCAGAAAACAATGAATTCCACTACTTATGATGTTGTGAAGTTCTTTTTTGCATAAAATAGTAGTTAAATAAACTTTATAATGTAAGTCTATAAATGCGATGACATGTCCTCTGACCCCTAGCTACCCGTATCAATAGGGTTAACATGGCTATGCTGCATCTTTGCAAGCAAATAAACATGCAGCAATTTTCCAGCTAAAGAAGAATTACACACTCTCCTGACACAGCTGCTCCCTCTACACAGAATAACCCAATCTTCACAAAAAGAGCACCAGAAGCGGGGAGGCAGGGTGAGAAGCATGAGATGGAGCAAATATCTATAAGAAATATATTTTCTTTGTATGAAAATATTAACTTCTGACACAATATCTTACCTCCTCTCACATATTAGCTACATTCCGACACTGAATAAGTGGAGGGTCCGGTGCAAAATTTACCGAGATGAGCATCCTTCAGAAAGCATCCAAAGAAGGCTTCTCTAATTAGATGAAAAAACTCCTGGGATACTGCACCACTTCTGTACCAGGTATACACTTTGCCCATTTTAGAAGTGTCACTAAATTGGGCAGAAATAAGAACTTACAAGTTGCTACTTAGAGGAGTTGGTTTGCCAAGGGTTACTCAGATAGTATTTTCAATTGGTTTTTGTAAAAGGCCACACAATGCAGATTTAGTGACAGGAACCATCCTGTAAGAAATGCTATTCTGGAGGTTCTCCTGCCAATAAGTATATCTGTACAGGCACCACTCACCATTGAGTGGGATCCAATATAATAGAGGGGTGTAACCCTATACTAAAAATGAAGGAAATGAAAAGTAAATATACCAAATCACAGTTGAACTAATTTGTTTAATATGACAACAAGCAGAATGTGAAATCTGAATCAGGAAGAAATGGCTACATGATGGAGGTAAAGGGAGATGAACGTGTCGAGTGTAATCCACATGCCAGCCTGGATGATTTCCTTCAAGGAACAATGGTGTTCGATATACAAGACTGTTTAGTGTAAACATTATTTAGTTTATTTTGTGACTTAATATTTAATGACTGTTTAGTTTTCATGACAGGATTGTTGAAGGTTGATTGTTTTAAAAGCATTAGTTGTGAGAAATTTCATTACTCAAACCTTTGGTATTTTTCTCGACAAATGAGTATTGTTACATCATAGCGTCTCCTAGGTTTTAGAAAATTTCAGACCTCAGTTGAGCAAAGTATATATATATATATATATATATATATATTATATACATAGGTGACTGAGCGAGAGCAAGTTAAGTGAAGTAAACGTTTAGTCAGAAAAAAGTTAAAAAATGTGGAGTTAGTTGGTGTGCAAGTGATTAACCTTAACGGGTGATATTTTAAAGTGAGTTTCACAATTTAATCCTCTCTGCCCAAGCATGATTTACTGTACAAGTCACGAGGTTTTAGTGGCTTACATTCAAAATTTTATTCAACTACTTTTTGTTTCTGTTATACCAATTAGCACAGCAAAAAATCATAGCTAATAATCCATATCTTAATAGTATACAAGTTTTAAGTTCTTAATTTTATAAGGTAATATTTAAAAACATCCTGAATTACCCCTAGTGTGAGAAAGGTGACACATTTTCTGTAAACATCCCATCTTCTCTATTTTATTCACCACCAAACCAATGATTACTAAATTTAACGTAAATTATTCACTATAAAATCGTCATCATTTAAACAAACCATAATTTTTAATTTTTAATTTTGTTTAATTACAGAGCCATCAAATAGAAAATCAGACTCCCCCTTGCCACACTCACCTGTCACATCCTCTCTTTCAGAATTTGTTAATAACTGTCTCTTACGTTTAATTCTATATTATCTATAACCAATGGAAAACCAAGGTTTTCATCTATCAAATGACATTTTATATTACATCTCGTTTTGAACATAGAATTGTCAATTTCTCTTTTAGTACAAGCTTCGTTCCCACTAGCTTGAATGAATTTGTAACGGCTCTTGAAGCATAGTAAGAAAGCGAGAATAAATGTGCTAGTTAGAGGAAATTGTCTGCTTTTTACATGTTATTATTCTATGTTCTTTGATGCATTATTTAATCAAATAAAAATTATTTTGTGCATTACTACCATTAGAATAAAACAATAGGGTTAAGTGTCATCGACAGTAAACAGCGAATAAATTATTCATTCACATTCATTCGAATTATTTTTCACAATAGGAAAATAACAAAAAACCTGGTTTGTTTGTAACTAGGGTTTCACTAATGAAATACGTGCAGATTGAACTTATTACACTCGAACAATTCTGTAATATGCAAAACAGACACTCTAAAAATTATTGCTATGGAATAAAAAAAAGCAGAGATAAAAACTGAGAATAAAATATTTAATATCTATGTAATGGCAAAATTACCATTGTTTCCATATGTTGTTTACTTTCCTGCAGTTTGCTCATTCTACCTTTCGTTTCTGTTGTTTTCAGTGCCAGAAATCGTTCTGTTGATGTCTCTAAATCTTGTATCTTCCTCCTCTCATCAAGATGAAGAAAAAAACATTAAGGTACATTGTAAAAAAATAATGCTATGTCTTAAAAAGCAGTGACAATTATATTCATTAGATTTTCATAATTTACAATAAAGTAAGTTATAAAACTAGTTATAATTAATGTCAAACATATTCACTAGACTTCCCTAATTCACAATTCTTGATTAATAACTGTACATTTTCTGGTCCTGATAAGTGAGTGTCAACCTAATTATTGTGAAACCATTAAGTACTGTGCAGTGTGTGAAGTATCTTATTAAAGATAATCACTGAATATAAAGTTTATGTGCATATATCTTTTTTTATTAAGACAAGTGTACTCAATAAAATGATAAGTATCAATGTCAACAATTAAGCATGTATTAAATAAGCTGATTACAAAAGAGAAATACTTACTGTGCAAAGTACAGTTGTGTCTGTAAACTTGAAGCCTGCTTCCTTGCATTGACCGCTCGTTCCACTGCAGCAGTCAGCTGTTTCTCCTGATCACTTATGATACGGACCAACCTGCAACAATAACATACAAGAAAATAAAACTTACAAAATGTTTTTACATAAACAAAGATAGTTCTTCCATAGAATAGCTATCTCCTCTTAGACAAGTGTTTCAGTTTTTTTTAATTACTAAAAATAGATCATTATCTGTTAGCTTTGAATTTTTAGACATCCAACATTCAGAGTTTTTAAATGAGTTTCTCATAAATAAAGAAACATATCTTTCATACCTGTCTTTGTGCTCTTGAACAAGAATTTGATACTTTGCATGTCCAGTTGTTTTTATTTCCTTCAGCTCTTTACCTAGCTGTAAGATTTTCACAATTATATACTAATTTATTACAAATTTAATAAACACCCACAACTTTTACTATTCTATTGGTTAATGTAAATACTATGGGCAAATGCAAACATGTTCCCTCCTAGATATAATAGACTTTATACACTACCAACTTAATCTAGTTCACACCTTAACAACTGTTGATGCAATTTGATAATATAAATTGCATCTCAACCATTACTATGTAATCCAGCTAGTCTCATAAACCCTGGTGTTAGATGAAAGTTGTTGTTGGCACTGCATATGGCAGATGTAGTGTGGTTGGCATATTGCTATATTTTCTTCATTACTTTCAATAATAAGTTCTTAAAATTACTAACATATACCTTTATAGATATATTAAATTTTCTATTAATCACATTCATACCCACATATGTTAAACTTCTAATCTAACACATTCCTTCTCAGATTTTTTTAAACTTACTAACGTTTCACACCCAGATCTTCTTATTAGAAAGGTTTATGTACTATCCAATCACTGAGTCTCTAACCCTTAAGTATGTAACAGTACTAAAAAAAAAGTTACCAATTAGTACTTTCTAGTTTTAGTTGGTAATACAATGTATGAGTTATGTAATCATATAATTACTAACCATGATAACAACTGGTATCCAATTGTCACAATTTCACAGTTCTGAACTAACAATATTTAATGAAAAGTTAAAGTATTTCTTGAAAAAGGTTCCTGGCTTTTCTTACCAGTTCATTATGAACTGATAAGACATATGTACAGCAAGTTTATATTTATGTAATGTGATGATGATAATTTTATTTGAATGTCATTTAACATAAATTTTCAGTTCTCCACATTACCATAATTCCAGCTATAAATTCTTATTGTAATTCACTTAAAATTAGTAATGTGAAATTTTGTTTTGCATTCTATAAGTGTTGCAAAGTAACTTCTCTCATAAGGTGGGAAATCTAAATTATTAACAACAAATATCCTAGTGAAATAATGAACCAACACAGCTTTGGTAAACTTTGTTCCTAAGACAAATTATCAACAAGAAATAGTAAATAACCTTAGTTTATGTAAACTTCCTATTTTATAATTAAATGTCAATAAAAATCCGGTTTTTTCCTTCTAAAATAGTAAACAAACTAGTTGTGTTAAAGTTCTTGTAGCAATTTATAACTGAGCTATGAACAAGAAATAGCTATTTTCCCATTATAACAGTGAACCACCTTAGTTTAGTAAACTTTTACATTTTTAGAATTAAAATTAATTTCAAAAATTTGATTACTTCTGAAACACAGTTTGCCTCTTCTTATAACATCAACATCACGTGCATTAAGTTTCTGAATTTCCTTGACATAGTGCAGTACTTGTGTAATATCATACCCACACAGTTCACCACATCCTACCTTCCATGTAACTTATTAAACAGGCATCATGGGAAATACTTAATCTGTACCTTCCACCCCAAAGCCAATTTCTTTTCAGTCATAATATGAAATTGCAAATCTCACGGTTGTCGAAAAGTGGGTGGGGATGTGTTTCAGAGATAAGCACCTGTTTGAAATTCCTTTTAATTTTAAAAATGCAAAATTCAAAACAGGCAGGCTTACCTCTAAAACACAGTTTGCCTGATTACCCACACTGAAGAGGAGGAAGGATTCAGAGAATGTATCAGGCTATGGACTGTGATACCACTAATACTAAATGATGGCAAGTGGAATTAAGCATGAGAAATAAAAAGCAAAATACGGATACAACTACATAAAAAGGGTTGAATTTGCATTTGAAAAGGCACTTGTTAAAAGTATACGATAATTGATAAGGACTGACACACTGTCATATAATGACACTCAAAAAAGAATCCTTCCTAGTAAATACCTAGTTGTCCAAGAAGCTTGCATCTTTCCTAACTAAACTCGTCAGAATTATTATACCTGGACACCACATTTCTGTGAGTGATGGTAGCCGGGGGTGACGTTAACAAAAGGTACAACACTGTAAGATATCAAAAATCCTATTTGTTATGTAAAATTCACAGTGGAGACAGGACCATTTTATCACTTAGTAAAACAAAACTGCACAAACTTTTTGGGTATAATTACCCTCTTCATCTACACAGAAAAAACCTTCATACAAAAATAAGTTTGGTCACTAACTATTCTAATCAGCACACACCTATTGAGAATCAAATAGGACAAGATGAACTTTATGACAGATGTTACAAGTCAAACAAAATAAAAACTATGTTCCCCATCCAAGAGTGGAGCTCAAACCATACAGAGATTGATAACAATATCCCATCTGCTCTCTTATCATTCTATACACAAAAGGCACACAGAGATGGAAAGGTAGACACCTGCTGAAGCATTGTCTGTCCACATGCAGAGGACATCACCCTCTAATAAAGCACAAGCATAGAGACTGGCATGGTTCAGACAAAAATGTAAAGGTCTCATAAGAAAATACACAAGTCTTGAGTGGACAACTCCAAATCACACACTGAGAACAATTATTAAAGAGAAATCACAGCAATTTTAAATAAACTTGCATGTTAACGATTCCATCTCAACTGAAGTACAATAACTGATGGTATGTAGAATCACAAATTTGAAGAGACAGCAAGATGCTGAAATATTATTCCAAATATGCATTTGGAGTTATCTACTTATTGGCCCATGGGATATCCTGTAAAGGGTATTGTGGCCATGATGCCAAATATGAAACTTCATAGACAAAATGCTAAATTCATGTTTTATGACTGGGTACAAACTAAAAAAACCTGTTCACACAGAATCTGTAACCAGAAAGAATAGGTGTAGAAAGACCTCTTTCATGAAACAGATACAAGAAAAAGGATACCTCTTGTTCAGGAGTGGGAAAAAGAAAGTAGACTGACATCAGCAACGAAAAATAGCCTAATGAGATTAGTAAACTGAAAGGAAAAAATGGCATCAAGACCTTAGAAATGTATAGGCAATACAAGACAGGAATTCTGTATGTCTCACAAAGGACAGACCACAGTAAACTGTGAAAACACAGACATCAAATCTTGGAGTGAAAGATGAAGATTCAAGATTGAAGAAAGACTAGAAAGAAAAGGCATAAAAGAAGAAACCACAGTTGTGCTGATCAAAGGGGAGCTATGAGAAACCAGCAAGTTGTGGAAGAGATCTTGGTGATAACTAGAAGAACAAGTCACAGAGGAGAACAGACATAAAGGAATAAATTCTTTCAACTCTAGCTTAAAATTTTCATGGTCAAATCATCAGGAATGGAAATGGGTTACAAAAAAAAAAGACTAAGAATACAATTGCCTGAAGTGGCAAAAACATTGATCATAGGACATCCAAGACAACTGCTCACTTATGGAAAAAGATTGTGACAATGAGTGCTCCATAAAACCTCTGAAACTGTCTGTATGTAGTAACATTATTTGGGGCAGATAGAGAGTTTCAATCTACAACACACTTGATGAACAGCTCAGAATTTGAGAAGGTTCATATGAGATGCCATCCTAAAATGGGTGCAGGTGCCAAAAATGTGTAGATATTCTATCAATTCCCAATACAACCAAAATTTGAGGAAAGCAAAAGTGTGTAGAGATAGAGGTATATTTCAGGATAATTGGTTGTAGCTGATTTTCCACCAAGACACCAAATTCAACTCACCCCATAAGAATGACAAGAAGAGGCTGTGTTTCAAAGATAAGTCAGCTTGTTTTGAAGTTAACATTTTCTTACACTGACAATGTATTTCTGATAGGTACTTACCTCCTCTCACCCAGAGCTATCTTGATCCTGGTCTGCTTTATAAGAATTGGTAAAAGTTTGTACTAAAAGCACATCAGTCTTTTATAACCCTCAATTTATGCCATTTTTCTTTTGAACATGTACTGATCATGTGATCATTTTCCACCAATCATGTTGTGCCATCTGTAATGGCACAGCTAGTTCCCTCTACTATTCTAGAACAAACCTCACTTTTGAGAATTATTACTTACACATCAGATACACTGGCACATCATTTGGAAGGAAGAGTGAGAAGAGGTAAGTACCTATCAGAAATACATTTTCAGCATAAGAAAATGTTAACTTCCAAAACAGGCTAAAATCCCATAGTGCTTAGGTGGTGGGGCCGGTGAAGGTGCATAAGTAATCAAGGAAGCAGAAAGCGACCATCCCAGAAGCATGGGTGTGCAAAAACACAAATGGACAGCACACGAGAGGGGTATTGCACTACTTCTGGAACAGGTATGCTCTTCACACAGTAATCAAAAATAGAAAAACCAATATGAGCAGAACTGAATTGGCGGGCACCAAAGTATTAAGAAAGATACAACTGGCTCATATAAGTATGTACCAAGGTATTAAGAAAGAAACAACTGGCTCACTTAACTATGCACCAAAGACAATGCCTTGGATTACATCAGAGTAAAACAAGTGTGGTCCATCTGGGCAGAAAACATCCAGTGGATGTGCCATGCAGAAGAAACTGTACAGCCAACAAGTGTGGTCCTCCCAGGCAACAGCATTGAGCACATGACTAGAAAAAATGGCTACAAATAAAAGAGTGATAATGTGGGTTGTCTGAACTCTTGAATTGTCAACATACAAGTGGCATTCTGTCCACATGAATAGCAAAATGTAATATTTGAACATATTGATAGTGAGCCATAATATAGTTCCTGACTGTAAGTAGCTAGGGCTGAAGGACTGAGTGAATAGGCTAAGTGTGATCTGCCCAGGCAGAAAACATCCATGAGAAGTGCCTTGGGATCTGATGTGTTACGCCAAGTGTGGTTCATGTGGCAAAAACAACAGTGGAATCACCTTGCATAAGATTTTGAGATCGACAAATGTGATCTGCCTAGGGAAAAAACATCCAGGGGAAACTCCTTGGATATATAATACGTTAGCCAAGTGAGGTCTGCCTGAGCAAAAACATCCAGGGGAAACCCCTTGGATATATAATATGTTAGCCAAGTGACGTCTGCCAAGGTAAAAAC